AATACGAATAAAATTGAAATAGCCCTCTCATCGTGGAAAAGGATTTCCTCGTAATTCTTCCACGCAGCTTCAAATTTGTGTGTAATAATTCTAATCACACGAAGCTTCATTGGTAATTTTTTTGTTCTCGTAACATCTTCGATCGTACCAAATTCTAACCGATTCATTTTGAATTAATCTACCAAATAGCAAAAACCGAAAAGATTATGAGAAAACAACGTTCTATTCACAATGAATTTATAAGAAAAGACCAAAGTATAATAGAGTTTAATTCCATAAATAAGTGATATGAAAATATCTTAAGAAAGGTAATATTGATAAATTAATTCAATAGAATATTATATAGTTTAAATAGTTTATGGATAGAATGTATATTTGGACGAATTGCTTGGAATATTATGTGATTCTATTTTGATTTTTTAAATATTTAGTATATGTATGATATAATAAAATGATCTCCACGATTTGTTTACAATATAATGTGATTTCATTATAAATTTTGCAGATTTGGTTGAACTACCAAGTTAATTGGGAAGATATTTGAAGATTTCCTATTTCCATAGAGGGCTGCCTCAATTTTTAGTTGAAATGGATAGCAAAAATTCCATAGAGGGCTGCCGCAATTTTTGACCAAATTTTTCAACCCAATATTTAATTGAATTTAAAATAAACTTTCGTTTGAATTTCCATAGAGGACTGCCGCAATGTGTTTAAAAAATAAAAAAGTCCAAGGATTACATTTCCAAATCGAATTCGCGTATAATAATTTGCAATGATTACATTTCAATATTTCCAAACAATCAGATTGAATAAGGATACTTGACTTATTACATTTCAATTAATAAATTTCATTTGAATTTCAAGAAGGGCGGATGTTTCAAATTATTTACTAAAATAAGTAAACTTGAATTGTTTAGGCGGGAAAATAGTTTCTTTTTTAGGTAAATCCCAAACCTTTTTATATTTATATAGATTTTGAAATATGTTTATATAAAAAAAAATATATCAGATACCATGCAAATTAGGAAAAAAATAAATTGATGTTACGGGATTGTTAGTCTTATCAAATGTTTCAATATCTGATACGATGCGAATTATGAAAAAAAAAAAATCAAAAACATGTTACAAAACAAAACAAAAATTTGTTTGTCCTCCTGAAATTCCAGTCCCCCGTCTTTGTTCACTCTCTCCCTTAACCTCACTGATTCCTGCAATTCGAGTCCCCCGTCTTCATCTGCAAAATCACAAAACAAACAAAAACAAAAACTGTAATCAAAATGGCAAAGCTCAATCTTTAACAAATATCTACTGAAAAATTATTCACTCTTAAAAGAAAAAAGAAAAAAAGAAATAGAAAAATCGGATCTGTTGAAATGAAATCTTCATGTTGATCAACCTGGAGAGTCTCTAACGCTGTTTGTCCTGTGCCTCCTTCTATTGAAGCCATGGGAGCCGAAGAAACTTGCTCTCCTCGAGCTTCACCACACAGATGCAGAAATTCAATCCGATATCTCATCAAAGGTAGGTCACACGAGCATAACTCGCCGGAAAACAACCGGAGATAAAATCAAAATTCACCAGATAAAAAAAAAAACAGAGAGATCTTTGTTTGAGATTTTTTCACCATCTCTCTCCTCTTGCCCTCTTCTCCCCCAATTTTCTCTCTTTCAGCTTCTCTCCCACTTACGATATCTCTCTCTAAACTCTCTATTAAGGGTGAAACTGATTATTAAGGGTTTTGTTTCTTTGAATTATCAGGAAAAACAATTAAAAAATGAGTTTTCAATCAAAGAAAAACAATGTATGTGCATGTTTAAATACCTTTTAACCAAATTTTTTGAATTATGTAGAATCTCTCCTCGTTCAAATTAGGATCGGATAGTGTGTATTTTTGAATACTAAATCCCTTCAATTAAGGGATGATTTGTTTATACAAAATATCCTAAATAAAATCCATTAATGGAAACTAATTAATGTGTCCGAAATTGACCAGAAAGTTGACTTTTTATTCTTAAAAAAAATGGTAAATATGTTTATATATACTAGTACAAATCCCGTGCGATGCACGGGTAAGAGATATTAATTAATGTTTATAAATTAAGAATAATTATTAAATAATATTTATAAATTAAAAATATTGAATCAATATAAACTACAATTTACCTATATTACTTTATTGAAAATATTGTATTAAATTTAAATTTTACAAAGTTACATAAAACATGTTTATTTAAAATTAGCCACAACCCGTGAAGTGCACTTATTTGATAATAAATTACTATATTCATTTCAAAGTAAGTGTCATTTAAAATTTTTATTCTAGCTTATTTGACTACAATGCAATTCCATAAAATTATATTGGTAAAATTATCATATTTTTTAAAATCTATGCGAATAATAAGTATAATTTTAAATTTATATTATTTCATTACCTAAAATGAATTTATTATTCGTATAAACTACCCAAATCAAAAAACTAAAGTAGTTCAGTAATTTATTAAACTATAAATAACTGAATATTCTATTTACGTCCAAGTTAATTAATATTGATTCGTAGTTTATGAATAATTACTTAATTGATTTTTATATTTAGAACTCAAATTTGAAATCCCTTATAGATTTCAATATATATATATATATATATATATATATATATATATTATCGCAATTTTTTAGATTTGTTGTCGATCAACTTATTGTTTAAATTTATCAACTAATTATCTAGAATTAAATTACAAATTTTATTAACCAATATTTGTTCAAAGATTCTTCATATTTTCAAGAGGAATATGTAACTTGCCGAATTATCATTAATATCTTATGAAAAGTTATTCTGGGAATATGCTAAATTTTGAGAATCATATCACCTTAATTTTATAACAAATTAATTAACATTCGACTTTCATACACATGCAAATAAAACTCATACCACTTATTTTGTTTCAAAATTTTACCAGATTTAATTCATACCAATTGCCGAATTATCGTCAATATCGTATGGTAAGTTATTATGAGGATATGTTAAAATTCGAGAATCAACTAAAATTCGACATTCATACACATATCAAATAAAATTCATATCACTTATTTTGTTTTCAAAATTTCCAAATACACTTTTATCCATACCGAATAAAATTTATGCCATTTAAATTTCAACATTTCATACAAAAATAAAATCTCCCACTTTATACTATTTGAACATTTATTAATAACAACACATTTTCTACTAAATATAAAAATGGCTATACGATACCTCAAAGAAAATTGCTCATTTTGTACTAACACTGAATTTATTAATTTTGTCAATCTTACATGCTTTTATAAGGTTGAATGAATGTTACGTTTTCAAAGTATTTAAGTAAAAGTTATTAACAAAAAAATTACTCGATATGCAACGTACTTAGCCTTCATAAATAGTTTAAAACATTTAATAGCATCATGTCTTTAGTTCTAATAGTACCCTATCCTTTTCGGCCCTAGAATATCCAAAACATCACGAATATAATAGCCTAGATTTATGTATCAATAATTTTAAAAATTCAATGACGATGAGTGTGATGTTATGATTTCATCAATTTTATATGAAATATGACAGAAGCTAGAAGCAGTATAATCAAGAAAAGCATATATAAGCTACAATCATTCTTTCCAATATAAACCAAATTACATAGCCACACATTAATTCATGATCAAAACATGCATTCATAAAACTGACTCTACATTACTCAGAGTGGCCAAATAGAAGAACCCTGAGATAATCTATCAAGAGTTGGTCCCCGTCCATGTATGCATCCCGGAACCGACCCTCATAGGTTGTTCCCGACAGCTAAATGAACCGGCCACGGCCAGTCGTTGGCCCATTCGCCCTCGTACGTGCATCTGTTAGGATACATATACTTTCTTTGGCCATGCGGGCAATCGCGGGATTAATAGTTCGTGTATAGGGGGCCCTCTCAGAATGACTTCTTAGCGTCATGGACCTCGTCAGCATCTTTCGCGTGGACCATGGGCATTGCTCGAATGTTCCGTTGACCCTTCTTCTTCAACATCTCCTCTCTCGGTCGTGCCTCGCCAAAAGAATTGCTACTCTTTGAATTAACCATGTCGGCTACCTCTTCTTTCTTGCCCTCACCCACTGGCAATATCCTCGACTGCAAATTCAATTTCGGTTGGCTGTCAATGTCATAGTAGATCATCAAACATCACAAAGTATAACCTATTCACATGGAAAAGAGAAAAATGAAAGAAAAAAAATAAGTAAAAATCTATAAATCAAATAAAAAATCTTTCGATTCTAACATCTTCCTAACATCTCTTTTTAATTATTATTATAATTTTAATGTACAATTATTGATCACTTTTAATGTTCTAATTGCAAAGACTACCATCTTTTGATTATTGAGTTATCTTTGAGCCTATGCAACATCAAATTATTCTTAATATAATACTTCATGCATCAAATTATTCTTAATATAATTCTTCATGCGTGATACCAACTGCGTGTATATATATATATATATATATATATATATATATATATAGAGAGANNNTGTATATATATATATATATATATATATAGAGAGAGAGAGAGAGAGAGAGAGAGAGAGAGAGAAAGGATCATATGAGAATGATATATAATGAAAGAAATAAGAATAAATTTGCACCATCGGATCAACCATATCAATGGTAAAGATGAAGTCAAACTAGGGTCAATCATTAATGGTAATCTAGTAATTATTTGATCATAGTATAGTCAAATATGTATATTTGACAAATAATTAAGGGTAGGTTGGTCAATACACATATATAATATTTATGTGGGACCAACACACCAATTAAACACAATTTTCTCTCTCATCACTCTCATTCACGAATTACAATTCAATTTCACAGATATGAAATATGCAAAAACGCTCACACACACACACACATACACACAACACACACACTCACACGCCACACACGGCGGCGGCCACCAATAGAGCCGCCGGAGCCAGACCTCAAGATGCCTTCGCACAGCAAACCGCCGCCACCATTCCCACCTCCGAAGCAGCCGCCCGGCGCGGCCACAGCCTGCCGCTGCAATGTGAACCACTGCCATCCGGTCGTACGCCGCCACAGAGTTCCGGCATGTTCCACGTAGTCGAAATGTCCTCCGGCGCGGCCGAACGGAGTAGGGTTGTCGTCGTGAACGATGGAGGAAGGTCGTCGGCGGCGGGGGGGAACTCACAGCGACCGGCGAACTGAGATGAAAGTCGGGCAGAGGACGGCAAACGGGCAGGCGGCGAGATGGAAGTCTAAGACTGAAGGCACACGCTCTGCGGGTGGCGGCGACAGCGACGGCGACGACTGAAGGCACAGGCTGCGGTTGTGTTAGGGTGTTTATATTGATAATTTGACTAAAGTTAGGGACCTACATGTAGTTTTAAGAATTTTAATTACATTTTAATTAATTCCACATGGCAAATCTGTAATTTTTGAAAGTTAATAAAAAAATTATATTTTATGTTATTGTTATACACATATATTAAATAATAAATAAATTATTAAATAAAAATAATATAAAATATAAAAAAATATATGAAATAATTTATAATATTAAATTAATTATATAAAATAAAATAATTTGTAATAATAACAATAATAATAATAATAATAATAATAATAATAATAACATAAAATATTTAAATTAATTATTTGTACAATTATATTTATTTAAAAATAATTTTCGGATACACTTAATTTATATGGAATCTTATAAATTATTTCACTTTATATAAAAACACTTTTGCACTTTATAGAACAATACGTCACACTTTATAAACAACACGTTGCACTTTATAAAACAACAAGGTAAACTTTATCAACATGCTCCACAATCAACGTCAATAATTCCCACCAAAATACAAAACAATATAAATCTAAAAAACGAATCAACATAATATTTTATCACACATCACATCATCTATTCCAAAAAAAAAACAAAATCGTGCTAACATAGCAAACTTACAGTATTTTACTTTATACACCGTCAGGTTGCACTTTAATAAACAACTCGTTGCACTTTATACAACATCACGATGCACTTTATCGTGACAATCTCACAATTAAACGTCGATAATTCCAACCAAAATAACACGCCCTATAAATCTAAAAAATATATTTACATAACATTGATAGTTCAATTCGGTAATTACTTTATCCTTCTTTTTTACAAAAATAAATGTTAATTATTTTAATTAAATTAACATATAAATAAAACTAATTATTTCGGTGTTGGTTTAGTTTGAGACAAGTCATTAAAAAATAATTGTACTTAGAGTGCACATTAGTGTTGGACGGATCGCACGTTAATGATTGTCAAATTGCACTATATCTATTAAACCGGCATAAATAAATAAACAAATATTATTTTGTTATATATATTGTTTTAGGCATTACACAAAAAAAACATATAAAAATTATAAAAAACGTTAAATTACTAAATATATTTTTAATATAAATTATAATTATTTTAATTTTAATTTGGATTGTGACAAATCATTAAAATATAAATGCACTTCGAGTGCACATTTGTGTTATACTGATTGCACTTTAGTGACTGTCAGATTGCACTACAACAACCAAATATCGACCGAACTAAATTGTTGGTTCCCATTAAAAATCGATATGCCTGCCAGCAATTCGTGTCTGATTTTGATCTGGGTCGACCCCCGAAGGGTCCATGTGCGACTGCTATGCTTTCCATTTGTCTTCCGGAGTTGCGGCAAAAATGACAGGAAAACGGGAACCTCGGTCCTAAGTCTGGTGTAATTGATTGAGTTCGGACTTTATATTTTTTGTACAATTTTTAAACTTTGATAATTTCGATTAGAATTCTGGTTTTTTTATAAATAACCGAACCGACATAACTAAACTTTTCGAATCGAAATTTTATATATCCGTTCGATTATATATATTTATATATGTAATATGATAATTATTCCTACAGTTCTATTGCCAAAATAATTATAATATTGTGCAAAATAATAATATTATTATTAAATATGGCATTTTTTATTAACAGTAATTGAACATGTTATATTAAATTATAATAATTTATTTAATGGAAACAAAATCATGTCAAAATGCCCAAATGCCCAAATTCCATTGACCTTCTCTATTTGAAAATAATAAAAAAAAAGTAAAACTTTGCAATTGAGTCCTTGAATATATCAAATTCCCATATATGTGCCCTAAATTTTTATCAAAATCTTGAATAAGGAAATATGATTTTGAACAGCCCTCCCAGCCGTAAAGGTCATGTTTCCTGTGCCGGAGACGCTGGTGACAGTCTCGCCCGC